CAATAAAAATCAAGCTTTTGTTTTTCTTAAAGAATTTTAGGTTACTTAGAAGTCATTATGCCTTTGAGTAGATCAAGGACTTGAATACAGAGGTAAGAAATGAATATCATAAATAGATAAAAAAGAGGGCTTTTTTTCCCTGTAAGTCTCTTTAGAGACAAGATCTACACACCAACAAACAGTAGAAAAACACGCATTGTAGCTACAATTTTTGAGCATTTATTTATCAGGCCATGCACGACTTTATTATTAGGACTTCTGGAGTCTTTGCTCTGTGAAAATCATGCCAATTATTTTCCTTTCATAAATCTGTGCATGTCATTAAAGCTATACTCAGACCAGTCAGGTAGTATATTTATTTTGATCCAGTTAGCTGTTATCTTCAAAAAATAAAATATCTTTTTATTTGACTCCTAAATATTTAGAGTCGACTTTGCTCAGCTGCTCTCTCAATGCCAATTTTCTCATTCAAATACATCCAGGATGACTGGAGATGAATGCATTTGTGAATGGAATTGGCCACTTTTCATTTTCAGCATAATTTATTTTATTAAATATGAAGAAAAACACCCAACTTTCGTCCATCCTGCATCTTTGTGGAGTTTTTTGATCATTGGTGTGATTCTACAAGCAGGACTGGCAAGCAGTTGTAGTATTTTCCAGGCATTTAAAATGCTCTTTTTTTTAAACTGGATTGTTCACTCCCATGACATTTTGAGTTATAATGCCGTGGTTTTGTTATTGAAGGGGCTGTGTGATGTATCTGTTAATCAAGATGTAAATAGGCAAAAATACAAGATGTGGAACTAATTACAAAAAAAATCCCCCAAAACCTAGGAGTGGTACAAGAAAGAATAAGCCTCAACAGACCCAGTACAACCCAGAAAGGCAGAGAAACCAGAGGCTCAGCTTTGGTACCCCACAGAAAAATCAATCCCAAAAGAATCCTGCATTGGTATAAAAATGTCATAGCAACAGCAAGTAGCAGACATACTGTAAGTCCATGCAATTCTACATGCCCAGATACACATTTCTGCAAACTCTGACTGGAGTTAACACCAGCAGGATCAAAATGGATTAATCATATTTGATGTTATTTTAATTTTTTTTCCCATGCAACATCAGACCTAGAGTACTGCCCTTCAATGCCTCTTGTACCTTGTTTATGGAAACACACACCTTGTTTATGGACACAAAAAAAAACCATATAAGAGAAAAAAAAACACACAATGAAGCCTGAGAAAGTCATCTTAACATAAACAAATGCAAAAATCTTTTCCACAAAGCCTTGACTCAGCTGTTGAACGGTGGATTTTAGATGCATCTTGATGTTGCAACAGTTAGGCAGTTATTTAAACCCTAACACTGTGTCATTCAAATGGCCTTGAGCAGAAATGTTATGCTGCTTAATAGACAGTGTCATCTCATTCCAGTGCTATCACTTTTTTTGTGTCCGTTAAGCTGCCTGATGCAGTATGAACACTCGTAGGCAGTCAAGTATTTTGTTTACTGGCAGGGCACACAGAGCTGGGCAAAAAGTCTGGCTCTGTGCATTGCTCATCTACAGAGAAATGACCTTCACCCAACGGGCACAGGCAGAGGTCTGGCTCTGTGCACTGCTCATCTACAGAGAATTGACCTTCACCCAACGGGCACAGGCAGAAAGGGATGTGGCCAGGCACCAGTCTTGCTGCCACAAGTATCACACAGAACCAGTGTTCTGTAGTGTTCCATGTGCTGGTGTCGTGGTTTAACCCCAGAGCAGCAGCCAAGAACCAGCAGCCTCTCACTCACTGCCCACCAACGGGATGGGGGAGAGAATCAGAAGGGTAAAAGCTACAAAAACTCATGGGTTGAGATAAAGACAGTTTAATAGAGAAAGCAAAAGCTGCACACACAAGCAAAGCAAAACGAGGAATGAATTCACTGCTTCCCACAGACAGGAGGTGTTCAGCATCTCCAGGAGAGCAGGGCCCATCACGCGTAACGGTTCCTTGGGAAGACAAACACCATCACTCCAGATGTCCCCCCTTCCTCCTTCTTCCTCCCACCTTATACACTGAGCATGATGTGCTATGGTATGGAATATCCCTTGGGTCAGTTTGGGTCACCTGTCCCAGCTGTGTCTCCTCCCAATCTCCCATGCATCCCCAACTCCCTTGCCAGTGTGGCAGGATGGAAAGCAGCAAAGGCCTTGGCTCTGTGTGAGCTCTGCTCAGCAATAACAAAAACATCTCTGCATTATCAACTCTGTGTTCAGCACAAAACCCAAACATAGCCCCATACTAGCCTCTGTGAAGAAAGTTAACTCTACTCCAGCTCAAACCAGCACAGCTGGAGATCTGTCTCCAAACCATGGAGGAGACTGAAGGTATTTGTCACAGGTAAACAGACTCCTGTGTCACAGGCCATTAATAGTCTGGGATGGATTGGAGTTGGTGAGGTTCACAGGATCATTTTGATAATATATTAGTGGGTTTCTGAGGTATTGAGCTCCTTTGAATATCCTCAGAACTGCCAGATTTCCATCAGCATCCATTACTAACACTGCAAACTTTGTGTTCATTTATACTTCCTTAAAGTAACCAACAGTCCTGAATCACATCAGCACTTTGTTCCCTATCCTCAACCCTCCTAACAGCTTGTTAATGAGAAATGCAAACTACTTATCACCTCATAGCACACACTTGGTTTTTTTCCTCTTTTTTTCCTCTTTTTCTACCCAAACCAAGTCAGAGTTGGCTGCTGCCATGCAGCTCAGAGGCTTCTCTGGATGTAAAGTGTTTTGTTTATGTAGGCTGCTCAGCACATCTCCCTCAGGTGAAAACACACTTTTCAACAATGATCCACATACAGGTGCACTTTGCACTAATCTAGTTTGGAACCAACAGCTTACAGATGGAGAAGACTGAAAAGACACTGATGAATGGATCTAAGTATATTCTTGCATATGTATTATAAATCACTTTTGCATCTTTTTTTGTGTGTCATTGGTATTAAATAATACATCAGGATCTGTTTTGAGAAGATGTCTTAAGAAAGTCCATCATTTTAGACTAATATGTTAAAGTATTACACACTCCTTAAGAGAGAGGGTTATGGCTCCTTAACACTGAAATGATTGTAAACTGCTGAAATGGATGAGATAATTTCTTTATCAGGGCCTCTAAAATCCTTTCCAAGTACTGTGATCTCAAAAAGCTGGAGCACACAATGGAAAAATAAAATTATAGTTCAGATAGACTCTGTGCCAATTTTTAAAAAAATTACTTATCTAAAACAACACATTTGGTCACCTAGGTATTTAACAACAAAGAAGCTCCTACAAAAGCAACAATAAGCTTCAGAATTAATGTTAGTACATTAAGCTGAATTAGTCACTTTGAGCTCATTTGCATGATGTGTAGAAGGTGAGTAAACAGAGGGATCCCATTTGTTTGAATGAGAGAAAAAGGAAAGGTCAGTGTTCTGACCCACAATTTAGGAAATTATTCCATTCCTAAGGTAATCAGCCTGTCATCCATATAATTCCCTCCTCGCTCATTACAAAAAACTATAATAAAAGCCAAGTTGACTGTCTAAAGTTGCTATGGCATTTAGATATACAACAATTTGGCCCATGACCTTCAGTAGTTAAGTTCCCAAGTCTTCAAGAACGAAAGTTTTTCTCATACAGACTTTTCCCAAGAATGTTGCTCAAACTCTTATTTGGAGACTACACAGTAGTTGATATTCATAACTGAAAGTAACTCCTACACCCTGTCCCAATTTACTGCCAAACTGCTAAACTCTCACTGTGATGAGCTATCACATTATCTTCTCCACATCACAGCGAAAATATCTGGTCATAAAGAAAAGGTTTATATTATTTATTCAATTTCAGAGAAAGTTAGAAGTTTTCTAGCACAGGAAAAGAGAAGCCCATATCCTGATACTTAATGTTAATTAATATTAAGTCATTTAGCGATACATTTACCTTTGTTCCTCTCCATGCTGCATGTCAAAAATACCACAGATTCAAATTGGTGAGTTTAAGATAGACAAGGACACATAGACCCAACAAAAGCCAACAAAATCTTCCACCACAACAGGTAAACAAAGTTGACATAGGCATCATGATGTTACCTAGGTCTGTTGCCAAGGCTGTTCTCAGTGACTTCATCCACAGAGATATGACTCTTTGGCTATTCCCAACTCTGTCTCCTGTGCATCACAATATTAGGTAAAAATAACCCATCACCTACACTTGCTTTGGAGGAAGCTGTGAGAGATTCTACTTCTGTCATCACATAGTTCCCACTTTGTTGGGAACAAAAGCAAGTTGTTCACTGTCTTTATCATGGAATTTTCAACAAAATTACAATCTTTGCCCCATATTTAAAGGGTCTTCATTTAGGATATGTAATTGATTAAAAAGCAACACTGATTCATTTAATTATGTTAAACAAGATAAGCATATGGATTTACATAATTGTATCTCATCATTAGATCAAATTGAACAGGATTTAAATGATCAATTAGGGTGTTTATCTTGATACAGAACTGTCTCAGCTAATGTGAGTGGCAAAGGGGTACTATTGTAAAGCATGCTGTTACACATCTCTCTCCTTCTTTTACTGTGAAAAGACATAGCTCTGCCTTTTAAGAAAATAGCTAATCACAGTGATATTGCCGCCTAGAAAATAATATTTACAAGGTTACATAGTCTCTCTAAATTATTTACCGTTAGTATGCATTTTATTCTGATTTTTCTTGCAAATTTCAGATTAATTGATACTGTCTTTGAGGTAAAAAAATTCCAAGTAGTATCTACACAGAAAACAGATGGCTGAAGAAGTTTAGAAATGAAATAAACATCAATGAATGAAAACCAGGGATAAGAGCAAGAGCAGAAGTGTGGAGGCAAAGGACTCGAGCTCCCTAACAGTCTGCTCCCAACTGGTCCAGGAAGAGCAGGAGTCAGCCAACCTTCCCAGATTTGCCAGGCCTTGCACACTTACCCAAGGCTGCTCAAAACTGTAAGTACGTCTCCTGTCTTCCACATCCTCATCTTGCTTTGCTTGCTGAAACTCTTGTCTCAGGCGCTGTATCCGGTCATGATTGTTAGGGGTCGATCTGTTGCTAAAAGAGAGAGGATGGAAATGATCAATATACTTGGGAACTGCCACCTGTGACTATGGTTTCTTAACACAGGACTGAGACTCCAGTGCAGGACTACAGACAAAAAAAAATTAAAATAATTCAGTACGAAGATATTTCATTTTTAAAGATGATTTATGATGTTTGACTTATAAAGAAACTTCATGTGCTGTAAGGATAAGATAAATTCCTAAAAATAATCAAAAGTCGTTGGCATCTTTTCAGTATGTCCCTGAGAAGTGAAGTAGAATAGATGTGCTAGCGTCAGACTTAACATAAAGGGAAATTAAAAGTCCTAAGGATCTCTGTTACTGAATAAACATGAAAGATACTTTTCCCCTAATCAATAGACTGTAGTACTGTCAGATCTTTATTCACATCAAATTAATTACAACATCTGAAGGTCCTACCTATAGAAAATTTGGTTATTTTCCCCAATCAATAGGAGACTGCCATCCCTTAGTTCTGTTTTTAACAAGTCCTTTAAATTGATCAGTCTGAAAGCATTAAAAGGCTTGGGGGCTAGTAAAAAGCAATCCATTTGACAGCCCCTGGGCAGAAATGCATCCAGGCAGCAGATGAGTGCTGGTCTCAGCCCTGCAGACACTGGTGGGCTGGGGAGGGCTCTGCCCCAGAGGTACCCCTAGAAACCAGCACACTCAGAACCTTAAACCATTCAAATCCATCAATGTTTCCACTATGCCTTGTAACCCACTCTCTACAGTGCAGATGTATGTGAAATCATAAGAAAATATATGCATGGGAATGGCTTATTTGATGGGGTAAAGGGAAAGTGGGTATTTATTAATCTCACTGCCATTTTTCTAGCTGTGCAACTCCTACCTGATCCCTATGACCCCACTGTATTTCAAACATGTAAATGTGAGAATCACAAGAAGTCTGACAAATATGTTAGATCAAGACTAACCAGAAGCATGTTCATCTCCTATTATGGACTTCTTATGCCCTGCATTTCATTGTTTATTTCAAAAGATCTGATGAGGAATGGACAGCTATGACTTGGTTTCAAAAGATAAATCTGCAGAGAGACAATGGAACACAATTCCAGAGATTCCTGTTCTTGGACACAGGGTACAATAAAATACAGTGAATTTATATCCCATGCCTTTTCTTGTATGAAAAGAGACAATTTATGGCTGTTTTCCATGTCTTTTGGGTCTGGTAGGTGCAGGGGATTGGTGGTTGTAGTTGTTTGAGATGTTACCTCCCACACTTTTCAATGCCATTAGATAGAGTTTATTGGTGCTGGGTTAGCCAGACAGAAAAACGAGTATGGTTCTAGCAAAGGCTAATTTTTGAAAAGGTTTGAGTTGGGTTTTTTTCTTTCTTTAAAACCAAATTCAAAGAAAAGGAAAAAAATTAGGGAAGTGTTTTCTTTCATGCCTTTGTTTTGGTTTTTTTTGGCAAATGGGAGCTTTAAG